TCAGTTTTAATTTTAATTTGTTTTTATTTTGTTTCTTTTTTATTTTAAATTTAATCTTAATATGTTTTTACTTTGCTAGTGTGTATTGTATTTTTATTAAAAAATGTATTTAAAATCAAAATTAATTAAATAAAAATATAGGAAAATGCTATGGCGCTGCTGGGCCACCATACAGCAGATAATTGCAGCGATTTATGTCACAGGAACATCTGTACACCCAGCAGAGTGAATTGCCAAAGTTGTGTAGAGAACGCTCCACTAGGACAAAACTGTCTTCCTAGAGAGTAACAAAAACATAAATAATCTTTTAAAGAGACTTAATTAGTACAGTAGCATGTGTATTCTGAATGTGATTTCATCTCCATGATGTAGCATATATTAATACAGTATGTAATTTCAGTGACAGTGTATACATATTTAAATAGCAACTAAGATATCTTCTGTAACCTTTAATAACCCCTTAACAACATCAAAATCTTGCACAGCAAAAGCCCTGAAGGTCAATCCAACTGGAACTACTGCATTTGCTCTGCATACTTCCGAAAAATATGCATAATTGCTTGAAATAACACCAACACATTGCTTGGATGTAGATGGTATATCTTCATTCTTCAAAAAATGAATTATAGTAGTCTGTTTACAAAACTGTACTTTTCTATCATTTATGGACTATTAACGATGAAATATATATATTATATTTGTTAATAACGATCACAAAGCTAATCCATAATTATATTAATTGGTAACATATGCAGAAAACCACCAAAATGAAATACACACAGGTGCCCTAGAGTGTACTAGTCTGGCAATAACTGATACTGTATGGCTGTAAATGTTAAGAGGAATTTAAAATACAACAAATTGGACCATGAAGTTGTTCCTATATGCTATCATTTCAAGTCAATATATTATCATAATAATGTTACATCACCATCGATCACTTTATAATTTATAACCAATGGGATAATTATTTAATACATCTCATTTTAGTTTCCCCTGCTTTTTCTGTTTTAATAATTAATTACAATTTTGTATGACAAGGTTTATTATGGAAATTGGCAACCTTTTTGCCATGGCTAGCTGCTGTAGGACCAGACTGAAAAGTTTTTTGTCTGCGCAGGGAACATTTCATTTCTTAAAAATTTTGCGTGGAGAATTGCTGTGGATCTTTGTTATTACATGAAAAGTTTTGCGCGGATCCATCCTGGCATTCCTGCGGATAGCACAAAATCTATGAGCTACGAGAAGACAAGATAACAAAAATGATTTTTTTTAAGGTATTAATTAAAGACAAAATGCTGTAGATACAATATTAGTACAATTAATCACGATCCTAACAAAACTGAACGTTATAAAACTGTCCCTCTCCAAACTTCAAACTACTGTATATCAATATAAACAGTAACATTTTACATCTTTATCTAAGGAAGGGAAGCCCAGTTTTAGATTCCTTGATCCTGGTTAACACTTTCGAAAGATCTTGTGACTGAAAGGACTTCCTATTTCGGTATATAGGAATATGATGTTTTTTAATACCAAGGCTGCGGTTTCCATGGACGTACAGCTTCGACATTTCATCTATAGCCCTGTCACAAGCAAGAACAGGAGGAAAGCACCAATCCACTTTCGCTCTTTCGCCAAGAACTTTAATACTTTGGCCACCATCCATTTCCTGACTACGCACTACACCATAAAATGACTCCACAACTGCCTCATTACCAGTTTTAGCATACATTATGTCGAAAATTATGCAAAACTCTTGGCCAATGGATGAATAGAAACGAGGATCGGTGTACAGCGCCTTGATTACTTCTTGCTCTTGTAAAACTACGGTAAGAATCGTTTCTTTGGGTCCTTCACCAAGGATTACGGAATAGATCTCCGATACTGAGAACTCTGTAGTTTCCGCCTTCTCAAAACTCTTGATGAAGGAATTTTCTGTTAATTTTCACGTGCGGGAGTAGTGCCACAAATGCAACACATTTCTTGAACTCTTGGGCTCCAAGTTCAGCAAACGTTGCCTTATTAACGGGTACTTCATGCTGCGTAGCACGCTGACCACAAAGTGCGTCGAACTGTATGCCAAAGTCCAAACATTTGTGGAGGGATTCGTTGAGCTTTGGAAAACCTGTAATAATATAATAAACGTATATTAAATTCAACATTTGTATCAAGAGATTTTCTGGAAGTCTGAAACATTCTTGGCACAAACGTAAACGAATATCATATAGTATAATTTCTGTTGGTCAGCCAGTAGACAACTAGATTTTTACATATAACATCAAAAAGGTTGCAGAAAATTTAGTTCATATTGGATGAGATGAACTGTTGAAAACGGAAGGACATTAATATAAAATTATATAATATTACAAGCTGTAATAGAAAACCTGTCTTGAACCGATCTTGTAATTATCTCTTGATTCCGTCTGCAAGCTCTTTAAGGTCTTTCTGGCAATCTTCTATATCTCTGGCGATCCATTTAAAGTCACCATTTGCCTCCCGTCCGACGATGATCCACCCTGGTTCAAGTTCAACAGACTTGAATCTGTTTCTACGAATATCTTTGGCATGCTTGTTAAGCCTTGGACTAGCTTTCTTGCTTGGGTTCGGCTTCAGAACCTCGGAAGAAAATAGCTCTATTTGGGCGATGGCTGCTTTCACATAAGCTGGAAATTTCCAACCTGGACACCACTGAAGTTGTGCTGTGAGCATGAGGATAACAATTGGCCACAGAAGATCTAAAAGACCACACAAATCAAATACGAAATCAGCCCCGCAAAGTTTGTAGCGCATCTCTTTTTCATCACGATGATCTCGAAATGTTTCCACATAGGCTTCATAACTGATTTCTAGGCGTTTGAGGCTAAGATAACTGCTGCTCATGAATCTTTGCGGCGCATACGCATTAGTTACTCGGAATGGTAGATTTAGTTCCTTGGCTGTTTCTTTTGCAATGGCATACATTTTGCCATGGCGAAAGACTTGGTGGAAAAGGGAAACTCTTCCAAGAACGCGCTTGACAAAACTGTCCTCTTCAAACTTGGTGAAGACCAGGTCGAGCAAGTGACTTGGGTCCCAATGACATTCCCACCATTTATTCTCTAGTAAAACGGCCAATTCTTGTTTGCTTAAGCCTGCAGAATAAAGAACGTCAAATACTGGTTTATTCATGCTGGTGACAAATGGAACGTTGATGTACTGTCCATCGGTAACTTTTCCTTGCATTTGAAGCAAACTCTCTCCTTCGACACCAAGGTGGTTTTTTAGATCTTTGAATATTGCTTCTGCCAGCTCCTCTCCTTTGCGACCACTTCCATCCGACTTGCTATAAACAGGGTTAATCCCCATTGGAATCGCTGTCTTCTTTCCTTCTATAACTGGACACACCATTGTCACCTGGTTCGAAACTCGATGATTGGTCGATTTGTCAGCACTGACATAATAATGTGGCGGAAGGCCAGTATTTGGAAGATTGGTAAGCAAGTATTCCTTTGTCTCTTGATCAATGAAATGACACGCAACATCAATCATTTGAGGAAATAGCATTCTTGAGTGCCCAAAGTCTCCTATATCGGCACCTGCCTGGTGAAGCTCCGCTATCTTGGTTTCGTAGTGAACCGCTGCACACTTGGTTTGAACTACTCCAATAGCAGTTCTGAGCTGATTTCTAATGGCAATTCTCTGCCGATTTTTCAGCACTGCTTGTTCTTTCGCATACTTTGAGGCGTTCTGATGCGTCTTTGTTGAGCCAGATAAATGTGTCAGCATCCTGTGCTTTAATCTGCGCCATTCACCGCAGCTGCCTTGGCAGTGCTTTAAATACTCTGCAGCTGACATTGTTATCCCTGTCGCCAATGAATCTCCGGTAGGCTTGTGTTTAAGGGCTGATGACGCAATGGGGTTGCTGAGATACAAGTGACAGATCTTACACCGTAAAACCCAGGTATCATTCTCTCCAATCAGCTCCATATCCGGCTCTTCAGACAAGAAATCATCCAAATTGCTTGCTAAGGATGTTCGAGTTTCGTCTTTGTCATTTTCATTTGCATTTGTTACATGTTTTTCTGTGATTTCTTTAGTGTTCGAAAGTCTTTCACCAATCTTTTCGCTTATTCTGTCTGCAATGTAATCCAGTGTTGCTTTATCATGAGTTGCAGATTTTACCGAAAAAAAACGTAGCCAAGGATGTTTTGTTGCCCACTTTTGCCTGCAGGCATGTATTCGGTCGCATTCCCTTCAAGATGGGGACCTTCACAACTTCTAACTGGCTCAGTTAATAAACTCTTCTCAACATCCATGTCAAAATCTAATCCAGAAAGTGAAGATTTCGTCTTTAAAACTTGCTCTGTTTCATTGTTCGGAATACCTTTTTCCTTCTCGATATCTGATGGCAATCGTTGGTTCTTATTGCATGAACTATCTGAGTGAACTTTTGGTGCAATGTCAGGTTGCAACTTTGGCTTTTTGGTTCTTGAAGAATTTATCATTCTAAAATAGATTTAAGAATTTAATTACATTAATTTCATAAAATTTGTTTTCAATTCTATTCATTGCTTCAATCTTCATTGCTACTCTAGTGAGTGGGAGCCTATAGTTTAGTGATATACTATAAAAATTAATAAACCTTGTATAGCCTAATGTGCAGCCAATCAACCCGATTACATCACCACAATGAAATTCATTCAATATATCACTTATATCTAATAATCTAAATAACATGTACTGTAACTAGAATTGTTCATTTATGATCACGTCCCACATACTTTGGGAGGAAAAAGGAGTATAGAAGGTCAAAATATATTAATTTGATACACTAACCTGCTTTCTACAGCTTCAAATTCCTTCATAGCCATCACTGCTTCTGCTGCTCTTGGGTCTTCAATACTAATAAAGTCAGCTGAACAGTCGTGAAATTTCATGTGGTCATGCATGCTAGAATCATTAAACCTTGCAAATTTAAAGTTCTTTTTTTTATCCTTCTGATATTGTTTGAAGCAAAGAAGACATATTGCAGATGGTGTCTTTCCATGCCCAGCTTTTGGTCTTTTAATGCTTTTGGTCACAGATGACTGCTTGGATTTCATTAACAACTGGAATGCTACAAAAAATATTGAACAAGTACATATTATTAAATCACTTCAAACTGGATTTAGAAGGCTATAAGACATATATTTTTCATGTTTTTCCAAAACACTATCCTTGATATGTTTAGAAGTCAGGGAAATTTATTGTCAGGGATGTGTGAAATATGAATGTTTTGAACTACTCACCGTTTGAACTTGAATTACTATTCGAAGACGACTTAGTAACATTTTCATCACTCCTGTGATCTATAAATAGATAAACATAATTGAAATGACATAGAATGATAGAAATACAAAATTAAATCAACATGTATGTACATCTGCAGTAATACAGTGGTAAGAAAAGTTATGCTGTTATGATACCTAATTGTATTTGCAATATTTTGTATTCCACTCATCTACTGCCAAGTTGGTGAGTTTGTTTTATGGAATTTGTATGCTACTGTATGTACTTCATTTTTTATGCACTTCAGGCCTGAGTCCCACGTCTGCTAAGTGAGTAAGTGCTAACAAAGATTCATGTTGGCTTCATGGCTTTTAGGAGTGTCATTGGCTTATTGCAGATTAGTGTAATCTATGGACTATGCCTATGGTACTATATGGCAGTACATTGGAATTTGGAAGTCTCTGGCCGACTGACCCTCAGACTCTGTAGTCCACTTGTTCAGAGATACTACAATAGACTCTTAGTTGATATTCATATATGAACTTTTATGAAAATGATACTGCATATGTTTAAAATGTAATTTAATGAAGTTGAATATGTTGGAAAGAGACAGATAGTTAAAATCGAACAACTGGCAACTAAGCGAGACAACAATAACATGAAACACATTTTTTGTGGCATATATTTTGGGCAGAGAAGTGCTCTTTTTAAATTTCCACTTCTTTGCCAAGGTTTGGTTCCTTAAATTATTAGCCAACAATTTTGCCAGATATGTTAACGCACTGGCTAAAGTCTTGCGAATGAGCAGTGCCCGTCGAAACTGCGATCAAAAGTCCTTGCGCAAAGAGGGGAGCCATTGTACGTATGCACGTGAAGGAAAAAACGTTCGGGATAATTTCTGATTGGTTAATCCCAAGTTTGCATCAGTTGTTCACATGCTTAGAAGCCAAAGTTCAATATTTATCTGATATTTTGTAATATTAACAGGACTAGAAAACGGTTCCCTTGTTCTGCCAAGGTCCTTGGACCTTGTCCGTACCTTGTACGGATTAATTGTTGTGACGCAGATGCGTTGGCAGACTGAAAACACCCTCGGGCAGATAGAGTCTTCTAGAACATATATTACTCCATTAACTGCAATTTATAGCTTTGCTTAAATTGATTATATAGTAAATGTTACCTGCATTACCTGCTGCTGCTGCACATCCCAAACAGAGGACTTTTGAGCCAAAACCTTCCTCTTGGTCCTCGCTCGACTGACTCGAGGCACAAGTGTTTATTGTGTGACAAGGTTTCTGACATATCCTACAAGTATGAGCTCCACTAGTGGCACCTTTACAAGTTACACATTTCAAACCTTAAAAAAATAAGCAAATGAACTTACTTTCTTTATCCGATAACTCCATCCCAAAACAACGTCACAACGATTCAGTCTGAAATCTATGCCATTGAGGTCACCAATTTAGCGTGTAAAGTATTGCTTTTTGTGGCATCAGTAGTAATATTTCGAATTTTCGCGAGGCTCTATTTTCACCATTTTGATAAAACCGGAAGTACTTTATATAAGCAAAAACTTAATTAATCGGTGCACGTGCGTGTGAATTTGCAGATATAATTATAAAAGAAAATTCAAAACAAATGTTTCTGACATTCTGTCATTTCTGTTCACTGTATTCAGACAGAACTAAGAATAAGTTGACAAATTTAAAAATGTGCGGGGAACGGATTGATATTTGCAAATAATCTGCGCAGATTTTAACATAACTCTTCAAAATGCGCAGAGAGAAATCAAGATAAGGAATGCTGCGCGGGGAACGCGTTCCCCGCGCAGACCAAACTTTTCAGTCTGGGTAATGATTATGGCAAGATTGGAGTCATACATTCATAATTCATTAATACACTGGTACATATGTACACTACATGCATACCTCACCTTGTTGATATTGGCCTGTTCTACAATAAGCCCGAACTTTCCATGGGGGTTGTGAGCTAGACCACTGCGCCTCCCCTAACATTTTTTCCACCTCCCCCACTATTTTCACCAAAATCCGGCCTTGATTTGGATCTCTTTGCCTAATTCTAAAATTAGTCTATAATGCATGGGAATTGTCCATTTACATGAACATAAGAGACTTTTTATTTGGCTTCCATTTATGAATATTAAAGGCAATGGCAACAAAAAATTTTATTATCTCAATACAAAGAACGTTTAAAATTATCTATAAAATTTTATTACAGATTTTTCATATCAAGCTTAACTCTTGAAATATTTTGACTGAAAGCAATGACCTGTCCACCATCTTGGATTAATTCTTGACCTCATTAACTGTCGTTTTCATGACGTCAGGAGTGGGGTTAGCTTTATAAAATTACTTCTAAGTTACAGAGTAACAATCAAAAGTTGTTTAAATTGTTTTTATTCAATTCAAAATTTGAATTAGCAATCAAAATTGTTTCTGGTTCATATTATCACTGGGCTAGTAGTGGGCTTTCAAGATAAAAAAACTTGTGTGACCCCACTTGTGACGTATCATACATATCCTCAATAATCCAAGATGGCAGCTGTGCTAAAATGCTACGAGTTCACAGCTGTCACATTTTCCTTTTCAATACTTTTATGTGAACACACAAAACAACACCAACGTTATCGCAAGTATAGTATTGGCTGCTTCATTTTTGAATAATTTGAATAATTATATATACCGCATGTATAATCTCCAAGAAACAAAACAACGTTTTAATGTTTTGTAAAAATTTCGTCAATTTCATTGGTATAAAGCTTACGTTGTTTATTGAATTCAAATCCTGTTCATCATTCCGTAAATCTGGATGGCACTGACCATCATCTGAAAAAAATAATTAAGGCCGTAAATTGATAAGCATGTGTTAATAAACATTATATAATAACTACAGTGAAACATGCAATTTGATTGGTCAATAGCTGTGCAGGATCAGGCTATCCTGCACAAGGAATTAAAATGCTTTCGCAGGATTTTTGCAGGATTCTCAAAATGCTATTGTTTCACTGTAGTTATTTTATAAAACAATTGCCAAATGGTTTTTCAAGCAGGATGGCATGATCCATGCACTTGGGATGTTGTTCGACTTTCGGAAAGTGTAAACCGAAAGTCTTGCGACATCCTTTAATTAAGTTTATTCATTCACAGAAACCAGGTTTAATATCAGACATGTTTTTAGCTATAAATAAATGAATGCAAATCCAGATTAAATTGCCCAAGCTTTGTATTAATTTACTTAAAATCAGAGTAGCAAGCAAAAACATATATGTGCTGTAATTGCATCAGTCAAATTTGTTATACTGTACACAACCCAATTTCACAATTCCAAAATCCCTACTTTCCTATTATTATTTGTTGCTGGGGACTGTTTTTTGTAGAGTTTTCCTTATATTTTTTATGTACGTACATGCGGTGGAAATGCTGTCACTTTGTTGGTTGATTGCAAGGATTTCATCGCTAAGAGTTTTGTAAACTTGCATGGAGTAAAAATTCAGGAAACGTTCCATCTCATTTTTTATTAGCTCTATTTCTTCTTTCCATCTCTCGGTGATCATGTATATTTCAACTACCATTGCCTAGTGTTCTAGGGACTGGTCACTGTTTACAGCAAGGAGTGGGGAGACATTGCAGTCAGGTCTTGATATTCTTACCGGACGAGGAGAGTTCTAGAATTCTCTATCCAAGGGAAGTTTCCATCAATGATGGCTGAAGAACAACAGGCAATACTTGAGTAACCACCCTGCAGCTCGCAGTACTGAGCAAGCAGGCTTTTCATTTGCTTTCTTTCAGAGATTATCTTTCTATGCAGTTTAGTTCTTTGTATTGATGTATCTAAAATGAGTAACAGAAACAATTTTTTTTTTAAATTTCCCATTTCAAACGTCAAATTTTTAATTTGCTGAACCTAATGGAAATGAGCTCAGAGAATGAGTTTAGGTCATGCACTTGATAACAATGAGGTTTGAGCTAGATCTAAAAGAAATTTACTTAAAGAAATCTCACCAGCTAATTTAGAAATATTTGATGTCTTCTTAAGAACAGAGAAGTACATTTGTAACATTTCAATCTTTGTTTGTAGTGATTCGAGAGTTCGTTGGGCTAGAAGTTTCTTTCCTTTCTCCAAAATTCTTTGCTGATCAAACTGATGTCCAAAATTCTTTTCTAATTCAGCTATTTTGTTCTGGATGGCAAAGACATCCTTCAGCTTGTTTGTGTATGAACAATACATATTTTGGTATGTGACAACAGTACCAATTGCTGTAGCTGAAGAATCTCCAAGACCTTCTATAATTTGCACCTGATGTAAATGTTCACACATGAGAAAGCACTCCTCTTCATTGGTCAAGCTTGTTTTGGACTCAGATCGCAAGTCTTCCTATGAAAGCAATAAAGAATTTGATAAGTGTTCAGTAAATGAGCAAGAGATCTTTATTGACTTAATTGCTGTAATAGCATGGCATTCAGGGCCATTAGCGATTAAATGTAAACCTCTCAAGGCTTGAGGGACATTTCATCACTAATCAACCGTAATGCCATTCTGTCATTTTTTAATATCATAGCTACCAAGACAATAAAACGGTTTCATTTCCACTCAGAATTAGCTGTTCCTGTCAACTGTAATGCACAAACTTATTCTAAAACATCTTCATTATATACCTCTGGCAACTTGTTGTACTTCAGAATTCCACTCTTAATACTTTATTGCCTTGATTATCTAACTTAACGTCGTCTACTAGCTCTTCCCAAATGCTTTGTGGATTGGATTTACATTTCATAAGCCTACACAGTAAATTTTGAGGGGTAAAAGTTACCCTTTTTAAGAGTAAATTTTACCCATATGGTTGTAGTAATTAATTATAAGGTAGAAATTACTCTCAAATAGAGTGTATTATCCCACTACTAGAAAATACATGCATGCAGAAACCCTCGCTTGCTGACAAAACCATTGTATTTTCCGAACATGGAATATCTAAAGTAGTTGTCATGCTAACACGATAATTTTTTAAGAATATTCTTACAAATGAAAAATCGCCTAAAAATATCACTTTTAATTACCAAATTATCAATTTCCCAACATATATATGTTAGGTATGTTATTAATGTAATATAAGCTTCAATTTAAGGTAAATTCAACCACAAATGCTTTGCAAAACGGTTTAAAATAAAATGTTCTTTATAAAACTAAACTGCCTTTAAAGATGCTGTAAAGTCTGTTCTGTGCATATATTCTGCACATCAACACATTCCATTAGTGGGGAAGCAAGCTTTGGAATGTTGTTAATAATTCACACCTTCAGAACTTTCTTGAATTGAATCTCTAGTCTGCATTCATATACAAGCATAGCAAACCTGAAGAGTGTTAAAAATTCAGTATAATATATATCTAATCATATTTTACAACTGTAGCACACTGAGTTAAAAATGTAACCGACTTTACATCACCTTTTATTTAAATGGCTTTAATCTTTTATCGATAAACTTTGAGTTTGCAATATGATAAAAATTATTTCAAATTCTCGCATGCAAATAACTTTGCTTTCTTTTTATTTAAATTCAGTATAATAAAAAAGGGAATCAATATTAATAACACACTGAAATTATATGCTGTCTTGTTTAGTTGTTTCATATACGCAAAGGGCCAAAGGCAGTCAGATTTTAAAGCAATTATAAAATCAATATTTAAAACAAACTTACCTTTGTTAACATCAGCTGCCTTCTTTTAGCCGATTCTTTCGCCCTTTCATTCTGAGAAAGCTTTTGAAATTTACAAAATCTTGCAAAAATGTGAGCAAAAATAAAATATATTTGCAAAACATTTATCAAACCAAGAAATGTTTGCTATTTCGCTGTCGTCATGCAGTCGTTATAATGCAAACTTTAAATTGGACCAATCAGTGTCCGCTATTCATGACAGTTCACCATATTTTTTGGCATCAGTGAAGATGACCACCCTCCCAACACCCAAACACTGTTAGTGAGCCATGCCCGCGATCATTGATGAACTTTAGACTTTGCTAATGCTTTTGTTTCCCCGGATGTAAATAGCCGGGGGGAATTAGTACCCTTGCATGCCTAATTCATGTCAAGAAAATTGTTTAAGTTTTGAGACAGGCTGTAAACATGCAGCTCATGCAATCACTAATCCTTAAACAAAATGTCAAGATCTGTATCTCTAAAATAGCTTTTTGGGCACCTGACAGTGACGCATTAAGGATGGAAGAGATATAAGCAATGCCAGTAAAAATAGGGTTTTTACGTCTTACATGATTGGGGTCGAGGTGATAAGTATTTGTAAAATCTGCACTGTATATAAGCGCGCCTGTAGTGCTGTCCTTTCGCATTAGACGTCTGTCAACATGTTTGACAACTAAGTTTAATGGATGTTGTTGATGCCTAGACGCGAATTCCATCCCACATCCATAACATTTTCTTACGTTGGAAGGAATTTCCACGACTTCTTAATGAAATGGCGATAAGCCTGAATGCCAGTAATGTGCCTGGGGGAGTGGAAACTGAATTCCTGATACTGGTGGTCGTTGTGGTGGAGCGCTGAGATTACCTGCCTCATAAAATGGGACCTGACCAAAATGATGTGGATAGCCATAAGGACTTAAGCCAGCCATACGATTTCTACTGACATGGGCGTTTGGGTCACAATATAGGGTTGGCTAGTGGGTGGTGGAGCTCTAACTGGCGTCAACGTTAAATTCTGACAAGCAGGATGGGGTTGTCAAGTTAAGGGTATTGTCCCAAATTGTCTTGGTATCAGTGTGGAACTCTGGGGTATAGGTGGAGGTCGTTGCACTGATGAAACTTGTGGCATTTGTGCTGAACTTAGATTACCTGACTGATTTTTGCATGTTTCATCATGTAGTTCACAATTTAAGCATTGTGTCATGCTTCCGTGGGTGACCGATTTCTTCTATGTTTTCTTTCTCTTTGACTTTGTTGTTTGTTCTTACTCTTTGGGGTGGTGACCTGAATCAGCAGTAATTCTCTCAGCAAGTTCATGCATTTCCCGTCTGCAGCGTACAGCTTTGTCAAGCTCTCGTCGAAAATTTCATACTGACAAAGATGGATCTGTTCCAGTTGGCTTTGTTCCTTCTCTGCATTCTTTTAATTCTTCTTCCAGAAGAAGGCTATCGCACGTCTCGATGTTTGCTGCCTCTAGAAGGGATAAATTGGGCCAATCTCGATGAGCCCAACTAGCATGGACAACCTCTGCCTGATTAATTTTAGATCATACAGGCGTGAAAGCTCGAAATACAAACACCTTTCAGTTATCCCACCATTTCAACCAAGTCTTTAAGAACTCACGGTCAATTCGAGAAGGCCTGTATGAACTCCTGCAAATATTCCATTGCCTTGTTTTATCCACCGACTGTCTGGGCAAGAAGCAATCCTTCACATTTGCCTGTAAATTCGTCAGCAATCTCTCCGTGTAGCAGTCTTGTCTTCTCATTTTTCTTAAAGTGAAATTCGCATGATTTTATCTACTTAATGCTTCGTTTCCGAAAACGTCCTTGATGCCATGCATATTTGCCCCTGCTATGTCTGTGCACCATCCTATTGGGTTGAAAGTCACGTCCTCTTTTCCAAGACACTTTCGCAGAGCTTCCTGAAAGATGTTCCAAAACAAAGTAACACATTCGGTATTCTCTGATTCGGTGTCCATGATTGCTATGGGAATCTGCTTCCTTAGTAATGGATTGTATATGCTTGCAGTTAAGGTTACAACGTCATAGCAGCGTTTGTGTTTCCTGTCAAAGAAACAGTATTCTACATTCAGGTAGCTATCACCACTGTCCTTGTTCATACTGTCAGCCATACGTAGCTTTGACTCGCTTGTCTTAAAAACAAACGATGGCTGGTCCCGATTGCCCCTACTGTCATTGATTTTGTAAACATAGAATTTGTCCTTTTCATCACAAAAAGACTTAAATGTAACCAGCCCCTCGAAATTTCCGCCCATTGGATTAATTTCTCTGTGGACAGTTCGCTTTTGTCGTGAGATACAACTTCGATCAATAAGTTGGGTTACTTGTTTGTCAATCTTTTCCGAGGCATTTGATACAATATCGACATTGACATACAGGACAACTGACATATTTCGATGTTTTTTTCCAGCCTAGACCTAGGCCTTCTATTTTTATTGATATTTTTTTAATATTCAGCGCTTTTTCACATGAAAAGACTGGGACTAGGTGATGTGGGGGCGGGGCGGAGGAAGGATACAAGCCTGACGCAAGCGAAAAAATAGAAGGCCTAGTGGATTTCCCAACAACTGCCCTGAAACTGCCCTGATTGCGAAATGCCCAATTGTTGCGTTCTCAAACAGAATTATTTGCGACTTAACAGCGAATTTAAACCGATACAGGTAAAATAAACTCATTTATAGTATAACTCACTATTTTTATTTGTATACACGTCTAGAAAATCGGGGTTTTTATCATAAAGTTTGAAGCAACACTATTATTATGTTGACAAGGTGATGAAGCGAAAGCACAAAATAATAATTCTTTTATTCGCAAGACAATCTACTGTTTTGCTTTGAATAGGGAATATTGGGAATGAGGAATTTGAAATTATTGTTCAAATATTACGGATATACCGTTTGTAAACAATGTACGTTTTTATATACAGTACTGTACGGGCTATTAATAATATATGTATCCGTTTTATTTAATAAATTATAATTGTATATGTGTTTGTATATTTTACAAACACAAGACTGCTTCTTGCCAAAATTGAGAAAATATATATTAATGTAGTTGTGTATAAGACAAAATTTCATGAAAGATTCTACTTTTGGTATATATTTTGACTCATTTTGTGCTTTCGCTACACCTTGTCAAGTATTAAAATGTCAACATATTAAATAATAGTGTTGCTTCGAACTTTATGATAAAAACCCCGATTTTCTAGACGTGTATACAAATAAAAATAGTAAGTTTATACTATAAATGAGTTTATTTTACCTGTATCGGTTTAAATTCGCCGTTAAGTTGCAAATAATTCTGTTTGAGAACGCAATAATTGGGCATTTTGCAACCAGGGCAGTTTCAGGGCAGTTTTGGCCTTGTTGTTGGGAAATCCACTAGGCCTTCTAGGCTTGGTTCCTCCGCCCCGCCCCCAAATCACCTAGTCCCAGTCTTTTCATGTGAAAAAGCGCTCAATATGAAAAAATATAAATAAGACTAGAAGGCCTAGGTCTAGGCTGGGTTTTTTCCACATGCAAAACACAGGTTATCTTTGGAGAACTGCAATCTGTTGATTACACCAAATTGTGTTTTGTATGGACATTTTTTGTTATTGCAAATTCTCGAGCCGAGGCAATCTGCTTACCTCATCTGCCCATAAGCAGACCAAGTAGTCATTGAGTCTTTGCACCAAAGTCTTCCATCAGCTGACAAAACTTTGGCATTACACACGATCTTTGGCATTACACACATTAGCTATTTTAAACTGTTGCAACCCATCAATTCCATTTGGCAAACATCTACTGAACTGCGAGTTATATTTTTCCACATCGCTGGTCAAAACGTTTGTTGATTCTGTTTCATCGCCTCATCTTCCAATTTCATCTGAGCTCAACAATTCTCGTTGTTCAGTTGTTGTTGTCAATATTTGATATAATATCGATTGTAAAAAGTCTACAATATAGTTATAAAACAGTGCAGAATTTGGTGTTGATCCATATAATTTCCTAAGGTTGGCAAGTCTTGAACATTTTGAACTGAATACACACATAGTAAACTCCATAGTTCATTAAAAGGAGAAAAAGACAGCTTTAGAAACAACACAAATACCTAAAGGACAATTTTACTAACCTGTCTGCAACTTTTTTGTCAAACGTGCAGCTTAAAAAGCCCATAAATAAACTTAAAAAGCCCATAAACAATACTTGTTTGTAACTATGTGTGATCCTCTCATCCTAATATTTTTAAATACAATACAATACATTTACAATACAATTTTATTCAATAAAATAAAATACATAAAGATAGAAATAACATGACCCGCAAATAGCAATAGCTAATCAGAGGCGGGCATGGAATATAAATTTACACCGTTATAATTTCAATTAATTGCAGACAATTTTACTGTATATATACGTGCAGACAAAATATAGAAACATTATCGGAAGTTAAAAAAAAAAAAATTAAGAAAATGTATCATTGGTGGAATTTGAAAGGTGCTGTAGGATCTGATTGATGAATAGTGTACTGTTAATAATGTACCCATGAAATATTAAAAATAAGATCAAACAGACATTCTCTGCAAATCATAGGGAGATCAACATAGTCATCTTCATTATTCATAATTTCGATTAGTAAAGTATGAATCTTACTAGTGAAATCCTTTTTTTTAAGATTGCGGAGATATTCAGGGACAGAATTCCATACCTTAGCACCAACTCTAGAGAAAGCATTATGCTGTTGATTTGTACGAGAAGATTTTATCTGATAATTACCAGCAGTAGAGGATTTGGTATTATAGGAGACCAGTTCCACCAGGATTGGGTAGATTATACATTTTTCTAGCTCAGGGTAGCAAGTGTATGGGTAAATCACATTTATATTACTTTGGCTATGTCCCAAAAGCCATATGCATTTCAGTTAGCAATGAATTTGCATTCAATCTTATAATAAAAAGTATGGTTTAGAGACTCAATCTAAGAACAATACAACTCATGTATGTTTTTGTCTTGGTCTATCCAAAAATTTGGTCCTTTCCCTGAGAATGTTTCGTATCACATGTGTATTGTGATTTTACCCAACTCACTAGAAGCAATGTTTTGGCCTGGTTATTCATGTGTAACATGAAAGATTGGTTAGTTTATGAAAGATCATTATTAGTGGATATGACAAAAATACAGCACAATACTGTACACTTGATGAGCAAAGACCAAATTCTTTCATAAGTTACCTATCCTTACAAAGATAATGAGTTCCAATTCAGTCATGTTTTCTATTAACTTTGATCTTATAATACCTTTCTTCAGCACCAGTTTTCTGATACTTCCTTTCTTGGCGTGTTTTGAACAAACCACCTGACAAATGTAGACTCCAAGCATTTAAGCAAACTGCAGCAAAACCTGGGTGACCTGTAATGCAAATTGATTCTTCACCAACATCTTGTATAACATTTTCTTTCTGTAAAGCAGCCAAGCATCCTTTAACTTCCTTGCAACACTTACATTCCTTTGCATTTTTTAAAAAACTTGTGTTACAGTTCCCACATTTACACCTAAAAAATATATATACGTATTAAATAAATCTCAATTGTTCTATGCAAGTGAGCTATAAAGCAATATTTTGTCAAATAATACTTTTATAAGCTAAGCTGGTAATTCTTTATACTATACTGTATTATAAAAGATACAAAAGGTGACTATTTTGCCGGCAGCTGGCACGTTTTTAGCTTAGATTTCATATTGAAAAAATATTTTAAAATATAACATTTATTAAAATTGATTTTTTTCTGTGTTGGTGTATTAAAAAATGTACTCATGTGAATATGATGCTTGTGATGTTTAATACTCCGAGTGTGTACCCACACCGGGCGAGCATGAAAAATATGCCTGACCATGGTCACTGGAAATCGAACCTACGACCTTTGGAATACTAACCCAATGGCAATATGCTCTGCCAACTGAGCAACATGGTCAGGTTGGTTTGAGTATGTGATATTTCGGAACAGAATCTAGAATTATTAAAATTCTTACCATGAATTAATCGGTGTAAGTCCCTCGAGCCGTTTCTGATACTCTGCCATTTACCTTTCTTCTTCTGCTTTGTTTTTTAAATATTCATTTAACCAGATCTCATCTGCGAGTGGTTCTTCCATGTAAACATTGGTAAAGTTACTAATATTGTTTGTGTCTGCCTCAGATCTGCCGTGTTGGAAATCGTTTTCCACTTCTAGTTCTCCTTGTCCCACATAATCCTCATAAATATCTCCAAAAACTTCAGTTTCAGACTCTGAATTTGAGCTAGAACCTGATTTTGACATTTTTAAGTTTACTTTTCTCTTTTGTACAGCAAGTATTTCTAGTATTTACATAAGACACAACACATGTTTTAGGAATTTAGCCTGCGTAGAATGTTTTGACTTCGACACCCTTTCTTAAATGGCGTCACAAGGTGGCTCGTTCCAGGCCCCTAGATTTGTCAGACTTTTTCTGCAAATGGCTATGTTTAAAGGCGTATATCTTCCAAATGAAAAGGGTAATTGAAAAACTGTAAAATCATATATAAGCTAATTTTTCATGCTCTATTGAAATATCAAATAAAAAATTAAGTCGTATAGGCACTTTAATTTTGCACATTTAAATGTTAGAAGTTTGAATATAAGAGAATAATTTGAGGAATTGTTGTCAATTATTTTAGACCAAGATTTCCATATTGTTGCACTGTCAGAAACGTGGTTGAATGAACGCATTTCTAGTGATAAATTTACTATTCCTGGTTACAATCCCATACCCAGCTAACACACAACGTAATCACAACGTTGGTAGAAGGTAGTAGGAAAGTTAGGTCGGACCTAACTTTATCACGACATTCGTACAACGTTGTTTATGTTCTTAAGAATATAAATTCGTCTGACAAACGTTGTAGCGACGTTGAAATTCGACGTGCGCATCAAGACGTTAATGTCAAGACTACAACGTCATGTTTTGACATTAATGCAACGTTACAAAGTAACATTCTGCACGGACATTTATACCACGTCTGTGCAACGTTAGAGTTTAACCGTGGTTCAACGTTACAACATGACATGCCAACAACGTCTGTGCAATGTTATATTTTACGTTGATGCAACGTTTCTTTGTGGCGAGCTAAACGTACGCTGAAACATTGCAACAACGTTTGCACAACGTTATATTTTACGCATGAAGCAACGTTACAGCATGACATTCTATCAACGTGTGCGCAATGTTAAATTTTTACATTGAAGTAACGTTTCTTTAAGTTAAGAAATAAGCGTACGGTGGAACATTCCAGCGACGTTTTCGCAACGTTAAGCTATGCACGTTTTCACATATATGAGTATTATAAATTTATAACGTTGAATCTCTATTATATTATTATTCAATTATAGACTCAAAGTCGGGGCGAATTAATACTAAATATTCGACAATAATAATTGTGATGTATATATATATATATATAAAGCCGATAAATTGGACCTAATAGCTAACTCAACCGCGAAGAAAAATTGATGTGACGAACGCCAACTAGAAAGGGTTGAAAAGAGCGTCAGACTTTCTAGTAATTAATAGCGTCGAGCTCACCCGGAGCTCTGAACGCTATTAATTACTAAAGAGCCTGAGTATGAGGCTGGTCAGGATATATATGAGGGCAATCAGAGGAGGGGGATATAATTTACTGTCTGCATGACGCGTTCGAGTAACATTTTTTATCGTCCAAGCATCACGCCTGTCAAACGTTACATTTTAACGTTGAAACAACGTTACATCGTCACATCTTTTATCTTTTTACCCCAGGGCATCTCATAACAATTCATAACGCCTGAGCGAAGGTTAGATATTAATGGTAAACCAATCCGAGCAAACCCTGTAGAACGCCGGGCGCTGATTGGCTGAGCTAATGCTGTGCGCGATATGTGTTTTGACTGTTTTCTCGTCTCGCCGTCTCGGGTTTCACTTTACCTCGCCAGTCATCGACCGCATTTATATTGGTGTACTTTCGGACAATCTGGTTTCAGTTTTTTTGCAATTCTTTGCGATATTTGCGAGTTTCATCATTTTCATGTAAGTATAAATACTACGTGTATCTGTTTCGTTTTTAATGTGGTAGTTACTGGGGCTAAAACTTGTGTTTATAGTCGATATTACGCGGCGTCAATTTCAGTATAAATTTTGTTGATTTTAACAGCTTGCAAGTCCTTTACGAAGTTTGGATCCGTAGTCGCAGATTTCCCTTCACCTGACACAGAAATTAGCGATTGTAATGTAAGTGTTGATATTACAACTGTTATATATAGTTATATCAGGGTATATTACACAGTTATACTACATTTAATATTTATATTCTATATGTGCTTCGACCGCATCGAAGATTCAAATATCTATAGTATTCTGAATCTTTGTTCGTTTGCCGGTTTGCGCTCGACAATCGTAACCAGGTCGTCTTTCTCGTTCACTAGGGGTATGTTTTGGACAGGTTTTTAAAATACATACATGCTAGTTTAATGTATAAAAATATTACCATATCTTGCGAGGAAGCAGGACGTCGGTTGTTGCTTTGACTCAAGATCAAAGATGGCCGCCACAAGTCCTTCGCTTAAGTTAATTAATAGCCTTATAAAAATATTCAAAAAAGAAAATCTTGATCATGATCTATACAAATTAATTTTAAGTCAGACCTGGAAAATTTAAGTTTGATTTGCTTAATAACAAATTCATACCCAAGTATACACTTGCATCAGGTAAGACAGTGAGAGTGACCACAATTATTTAAGGCAAATTATGCAAAAATATAAATGTTTGACACACAGGAAAATATATTAAAATCGCAACAGACCAAAAAGGAGGGTTTTAAGAAGAAGTAATGGACACTCGAAAATAGAGAAATCAAGTCCAAAAATACAGATAATCTACATCAAACTAGGATTGAAATGGATTGCAATAACAAAAATAGTGAATATCACATTATATTGTCATTAACATTTACAACTTGTCATATTCTCAAATTTTTCATTATTTTTATTTCATATTCGTGTAACTTCAATTTAAACTTCTATCTCTAAGTTTACAGCTGAAAACGACTGAAACAAAGAGCCTCTCGAACCAGGGTATCTTTTAATAGGACGGTGGAAATATTTACATACCATTGGCTTTTCCCACCCTGGGGACCCCGGCCAATAGTAGGCCTGTGTAAAACTAGTTTATAATGTCACGCTACTTCCCATCCCATAGGATGTACATTATTTTGCAAATTAAGTCCCTGCTCCCATACCTTGTTGTCTCTACAGGCCTGCAAATTAGTGTTAGTAATCAGACATTGTCCGGTCAAATTTTACTTTTTGTCCGATCAAAGTTTTTTATGATCGGACATATGTGACTGACAGATTTAGGCTGGTCAAATCTCCAATCTCAAAAAATTGATTTTGAACACAATTTCATTAATGAAACCAAAGCAATATAAACAACAATCTTTCATTATTTTTTGGCTGCATATTTTTACTCATTAACGCGCAATGCGCCCGTATGCGCCCTGAGATTGACAAGTGGGTAACGGACAATGCGCCCGAATGCGCCCTGGCATGACACCTTAACTTGCGGGCATGATATTTGAGCACGTGTTTATCGGGTTGCCTAGCAACGGATACGAAAATAGAACGTGAAATTCGAGCTTTTCAACGGTGTATCATGCAAGAAAATCGGTCAGAAACTCGCAAAGTTTTTCAAGTTTAAAATCTTAGTTTTCCAAAAATAATGAATAATGGCGATTCTGTTACAAAGAAAGATTTTACAGCAAGTTTTAAAAGCAAGAAAAGAAGAGGTTTCTGAATCAACTACAACGAAAATTTGGCATGAAAGGAAAGCGAATGTATTGACGTTTTGGGGCCAAGTTTTTCTGTGAACCATGCGCGAGATTTTCAGCCAAAAAGATGAGGATTTCTCCAAACTTTATTAAAAATAGAAGTCGGAAATCACAAGAAAGATGAACACGGAACACAAGTGAGCAGATACGATTTTTTAAAGGGTATTTTTGAGTAGAAATATGCGATCAAACACTCACAAAATTCGACTGCATTAATGTTGGTTGAATCTAGTTTAAAGTTATCTTTTTAGACGAACTGTTTATGCAAATTTGGGCACAATTTCGACTGTTTTCGTAACCCCATTGTTGGTCTTCTTGTTCAAGTTGTTATTTTAGCTAAAGTATGTTTCAAACGACACCAGATTAAATTACTGTGTGCGTACGTGCCCTATTTGGCAAGAATACTTCGAGTATTAAATTACACTAAGTAAGTAGGGTACTCCAAAATCACTGTTATATCTATTTTCATCAATTTAGTCTTAAAATGACAACTCGTTTCAGACATATTGTGGTTTGAAATAAGTGTATTGAATTAATGCGCTTGCTTGCCGCGTGCGAATTCTCAAAAAGTCCGCACTTGAGTTCTAATGCTTTTAAAATGCTTTTTGTATTGGGTTTTATATCCCCATAAAACTTTAAATCGATAAGGCAGATAGTAATGTTGATCCAACCTCATTTTCTAGTAACTACATGTTGAATCAGAAGGAAAAGTTATCAAAATTTGGTCGCGACGGTTGTTTGCCGTTGTTGTCGCTTCTCTCTGAAATGGCTTCCTTTGCGGGAAGCCATGAAACTGAAGTCCCACCAAAAACATAATTTAGCCGTCCTTTCGGGCCCATTGCTCGCTTATTTATCATGAAATCGTTTCATTAGAACATTTTTAATAATGTTTATGGGAAACTTTGTAATTTTCTGAACTAAAAGTTTATGGTTTTGAGGTGTTTATTTTATAAAATAGCACGCGCGACAAAATGGCACTAATGTGGTTTCTCATGTCTGACAAACAACCAAAGATGAAAGTCCTTATTTCACCCTTTTATAGCTATGTTGAATACCTGACTATTAGGTTATCTTTTTCATTTGAGCATACAGATAACATTTCTACACAATTAGTCCTAATGAAAGCTTATTTCAAACTAAAAAAAAGCGATTGTTTTTCAGAGCCAGACTTCAAAAGAGAACGCGTGTCTGACATTTTATAGCAGCCTACATTGGCGCGCAAAATAATTTTGGCTAAAAACCGTTTCTTTCCAAACAGAAACATGAGAAAATTGAGCTAAAAGGCTTACCTGATGTATGTTTAAAATGTTTTTCTCTTTATGGTGTTTTTCAGTGCTTTGAGTAGAGAAGTGAATAACTTTTGGTTTTGTCACCGCAATTTGCCTTTGAAAATGTCGGCTGTCATTGTCTGTGTTAAAAACACCTCAGAAAATTCCTATTTTCTCACCTTCCCATCCTTGGTTTATATTGAAAACAAATAGATTCTAGTACCGTATGTCCTTTTAAATATATTTGAGGTAATTAAAAACTCCAAAGATGTACAAGCACTGTGTTTTGGCTTGCACACTTTGTTGAATTTTAACACTTAGTTACTGTTCTAAATTTCATGTTGTAAACATCTTGCCCAAAAAAGCAAAGGAGTATTTTTTATAATTTTTGATCATTTTCTAATTCATATCCCAATAGATGAAAACTGGTTATAATATAGATATGTACTAATTTAGTAAATATTTTTTTTTTTGGTTTTTATATAAATATATGGAGATATTGCCCCTTTAGGTGTTGAGTGACATGAAAAAATAGTGTCACTGGTTTACAAATAAAAATTCTCATTGAAAAAACTAATGATATATATAGGTATGCAAGTTCATTTAAACTAAATTTGGTCAATCATATATCACTAATGTTTGGTTGAAAAGACCAGATTTTTTCATGCAACTGTTTCTGAGATATTGCCATTTTGGTGAAAGCTCTTGAATTCAGTCACGTATTCGCCATATTGCTTGCACGTTACGGGGGTAGAAACATTGTAACAGCTTCGGCGTTAATGAGTTAATATTAAATTTTATCAAGCTTATTTTTAACCCCACTTATTCATGACTTATTTGCACTTAAATTTGTGTATTGTTCCTCATAGAAGGGGCTAGTTTTGTAGGAGATTTTAGCCTGCATGAGATTTAGCTACAAACTTTATTTCTTGTTGTTTGTTTACTGCTAAAGCAACATTTGAATGGAAATGAGAACATTCAACTTCCTCGCATGTTGTCAAATCTTGTACACCTGCTAAAGCTATCTAATAGCCCGCAAACACTCACTGTTATTATGATAAATGCAAAACAATCCATCCCCGGTATTCTTTGTCGTAAATGGAACATTTTGGATGAAAATCATTTGATCTGACACACAAACTCGATCATCAAAACTAAAAAGATGAAAAAGCCACGATATTCAATCAAGAGTTTGCCAAGATATTCAATCTTTGTTTCACTGCTATAATTGTTCCCGACTCCTAAGATTATAAGCAGCAACTGAGCCAGGCTGGGTGTACATGTATATTGACTTATACATACACAACATTCTTGGTTTCTGAGCATTCGGTAAAAGTTTCTTTATCGGCTGCTGAACAGTCGACATCACAGCAACAATTTGGATCACAACCATTCACTACCAAGTCACAAATGCAACCTCAAAATAAAAAGTACTTGATATATTAAAGGGTGCTCGGTTCTCCAAAAATATCTTGTGGTTCGAGACCAGTTTCATGACCGACCTTTTTTCTGACAACCCCAATGTTTTATGAAATGTGATTTTTGAAATCTTGGGTGTGCAATTACCAAACTTTCCAGTCAGAACCAGAGAGCATACCAAATATCTCCAGTGTCCAGACTGCATTTTCTGCACCACGCACATTTTTTATGCTTTCTATATATTTACTATTAATTAAATTTTCGAAATCTCTGGCACACAATTTCCAAACTTTACAGTCTGGTCCGGTGTGAGGTTACAAAATTTGTCAGCGTATTGGCATGAGATTTATACCTCAAAGTCGTTGACCAGTAGGTTGGCATGAGATTACTTCACAGTCTTACGCACAGGATTGTCTATTTTGACATGGGTTTTGTGATGTCGGAATATTAATGAACATCAATAGTGTAAAATAGAAAGTACATGCAAAAAGGTTGTTGCCTAGGCAACAAGGAAGGAAGCACACAGTGTTTTTGGCAGTTGAAAGGAACTTAAAACATAGATAACTTTTTGTAGTTCACTAGAATATTACAGGTTTGAGTCCCAAAAGTAAAATGTTTTGAAATGTTGGCGTGATCAAGGGTTTGTATTATTATCTCCTGCATAGAATTTCAAATGTACCCTGGAGTCAGGGTTATTATTACTTCTTGAAATGTTGTGTTGTAGCAATACCAACTGATCACACTCAAAAAAATTCAAAAAAAAATTCAAGTCAAGGCTAGAGTCATTTGACAGTTTGTTACGGTCCTACTAAAGAATGCCCGGGAATGCCCGGGAATGCTCGGGGAGATTCGTTGAATGCCCGGGAATGCCCGGGAATTGGGAAAGAATGCCCAGGGAAAATTACGTTCATAATTACGTTAGTTTATACTAATAAAATCACTTATTTTATGAAAGATGAAATAATTCTTGTAATATATGGCATTGCAAAGTACTGTTCACGGAATGTCCGGCTGTCACAAAAGAATGCCCGGGAGTCGAAAATGTATGCCCGGGGTAAAATTGCGCAAGTAATTACGATAGTTATAAATGAAAACATTAACAAGTCTTTTATTTTTTAATGAAAGTTTCTTGTAATATATGGCATTGCAAAAACTATTCACAGAATGCCTGGGGAAAATTACGTACCGCTAATGTCTTTTTCAAATCTACTCAGAATATATCACTATCAGTGAAATATATTTTCGGTAGTGTAAAAAGATGTTTCTTCATTATTATTTAGCATTACAAAGCCAAATAAATAATTTCTGTGAATAGTTTTTACAATGCCATATATTACAAGAAACTTTAATTAATAAAAGACTTGTTAATGTTTTCATTTATAACTATCGTAATTACTTGCGTAATTTTACCGCGGGCAATCATTTTCGACTCCCGGGCATTCTTTTGTGACAGCCGGACATTCCGTGAACAGTACTTTGCAATGCCATATATTACAAGAATTATTTAATCTTTCATAAAATAAGTGATTTTAATAGTATAAACTAACGTAATTATGAACGTAATTTTCCCCGGGCATTCTTTCCCAACTCCCGGGCATTCCCGGGCATTCAACGAATCTCCCCGGGCGTTCCCGGGCATTCTTTAGTAGGACCCGTTTGTTAAAGCCGGGTTACAGTCCGTTCTGCGCATCGGTTCTGCTCATAACAAAGGTAGACTACTGGATTTCAAAATTGTGCAAATTTCGCATGTTTTGTATATTTCTGAACATAAACACTAGCTCATACTTATTTAAAAGTATAGCGAACCAAAATAGTGTTAAATTTTCTGACAGTTCATAATATTTTAAGAAATATAGCAGTTCAAAATGTAAACAAAGCGTTTGTTTACATTACGGACTGTAACCCGGCTTTAAGTAATGTCATTAAATTTTGTTTACATCATGTATATGTGTGGCAGCGTGTTTCTAGACATTTTTCGTGCTTCCATTTTCCAAAATTCCACACAAAACGATAGTTTAATACACACCTGAACTACTTCCAGTATCGACAAAACTCTGGTTAGTCTGTCCATCAGTATTAAACACGAAATAAAGTAGAAATATTACTGAAAACACTGCTCGAGCGACGGCCATATTGTTTTTGAAGTTTACCCATTGAACTATAAATAAACTGGAAGGCTAACTGCTATGATGAAGGCCTATGATTTGATGAAGCCAAAATAGTTTTTCTGAGTTATGAGCAGAAATACTTGACCCCAAACGTCGGGCTATATATCAAATTGAAGCTATTGAAAATTGCTATTCGGTGTGGAAATTTCAAGACTTCAGCGAAAAGAAAAATCTTTAAAAAATACAAAAATAACTGCAAAACGGCAAATTATCGGTAATTATGTTTGTAGTTTTTCAATATTTCCCTTTTCGCTAAAGTCTTGAAATTTTTACACCAAATAGAGTTTTTCAATAGCTTCAATTTGATATATAGCCCAACGTTCAGTGTTGAGTATTTCTGCTCATAACTCAGAAAAACTAAAATGCACTGGCTTCAATTTCCCCCCCTGAGTTAGCCTTCCAGTTTATTTATAGTTCAATGAGTTTACCCGACCCAGTCCATCGCGAACAACGCGCCGCGGTCTGTGGTTGCCAGAATACCAGTTGACCACTGGTGGTGGATTTCCGAGTCGGTAACCGTTATCACCATAATACCATTCACACTACACAAAATCCAGTATCCTCATGAGAATGCTCACGAGTATTTTATTGGATTTTGGTATATATTTGAGCGCGCTCATGAGATACGGTACTGTAGATACCAAAATAAGGTATGCTCATAAGAGGGTCCTGAATGGGGGGTCCCAATCCCATTTCCCACCTGAAATTTTGGCAAAATCCCAGTCCCAGTTGGATTTTTATTAGAAATCCCAGTCCCAGTCATTTAAATCCCAGTCAATAAAAAACCCTTTATTTATCGTTAGAATAAACAGTTTTAAGACCTTTTAAATTTATATATTACTGTAATAGCTTAGCTTATCCTTATCATATTCTGCATGTAAAATAATTTTCTGGCACACGCCCCCCGTGGAAATCAGCTACGGTTGACGGGGTCAGCGTGGATAAATAAAGTTCTACTACTACTTCTTCTACTACTACTACTAAGCAAGTGGCGGGCAATTTATTAGGGGGGCTCGTGCCAAAGGCACGGAAAATTTTAAAATTTGAATCCCGGAAATGGCATTTGCAGCATTCTGAGACACGCATAATCAGAAAACCCAGAATTCCGGGCGCCAGAGTATGCTTGTTCGCAGGTAGTGCTGTGAATAATATAGTTAACAACAAAAATCATGACCAAAGACATCAAAAACGGATCAAAATTGTATTTTAAAATACTCAAAACGCAGAAAAATTGGGAATCGACTCACATTACCTCAATCCCATTCCCATTTTTGAGGACTTCATTTCCCATTCCCAGTGGCCAAATCCCAGTCCCAGCAACCCAAATCCCATTTTCCCAGTCTATATATAGACAATCCCAGTTCCCATTTTACCCCTTCAGGGCCCTCTCATAAGCACGTTCATATATCTACCAAAATCCGGAACGCTCATGAGCGCCCTCATATATACCAAAATCCAGTGTCCTCATAAAAATGCTTATGAACATATTACTGGGTTTTGGTATATAGCCAATTCAAAAAAGATTGTCCTTTGCAAACCTTAAACTCTAAATCTTAAATCTGAGACTCTAAGCGAGCAAAGCTTAATGGCAGCACAAGTTTCAAGCTTAGTAGTTGAATAGGTAAAAACTGATCCAGCTATTTGTGAATGAATTGTTCTCGTAAGGAGATATTTACCATGCCTCTAAAAATGGCCCCATATATGATTTCTAAACTGATTAAATTATGCTCCCATCATGCTTTGCACGCTTAGAGTTTAAGGTTGAAGGTTTAATTTAGAGTTTAGGGTTTGCAAAGGCCAACCTTTTTTGACTGATTTAATAGCTGCATATAACTATAAGAGCGTGCTCATACATACTATAAATATTCAGCATGAACTCCACCTTTGAATTTACTATACGAGCAAATTCTTAAACACGTCCGAATTTATCATTATGATTAATTAAATTCGCGGCACATTTTGAATTTATCATAATCAGTAAATTCGCAGCATCTAACCCCTGACACTAACCCCAACACTAACCACTAACCCCTAACCACTAACCACTAACCCTAATCTAACTTTTTTAATTTTTTTGAAAATCTAACTTTTTAAATTTTTTTCTTTTTAAAACTTTTTTTCTTGAAAATCATATCATAATGATAAATTCGAACGTGTTTAAGAATTTACTCATATAGTAAATTCAAAGGTGGAGCTCATGTTGTAAATCATATTATACTTCAGGCTGCTTCACACAGTATTTTAATTTCCTCAAAACACAATACAGTGCATGTAATACAACAAAATTCTAAAAACAATAAACATTATTTTCTAAATTACTTTGAATTTGTACTCGAGTAAAAGTAGAAGTAATTAACAATAAAACGACTTGAGTAAGAGTAAAAAGTACTGGAGGCAAAACGTACTTAAGTAAAAAGTACAAAGTATCCTTAAAAAATACTTGAAGTAAAAAGTAAAAGTAAAGTACTATTGTCTGTAGCGTGTAAGGGGGGGGGACTTCTCCAATGAATTTACATACAAAAGACACAAAACAGAACACGCATTATATGCGTGCACCTAATATACAATATTTCACGACATGGTCTACTTTTCAGACCCCATTGAAAATATAAGAAATCCATTAAATAAATAATGCTTATAAGTAAGTCACAAACGAGAGACCTCAGACGCATGTAGAGGTCCTATTACCTATCCCAAAATTAAAATAAATCACGAATAAATC